ATATAGGCCTCAGGTAGGGTTTACATCGTGTTTAGGGATCATAGAGGCAACCCTAAACCCTAAACCGTAAACCCTAGATCGTAGAGGTCATGCTCTTTGAGACCTACCGGGCTTTCTCGCAAGACCACACATCTAAAGAAGTCCCAAGCCCTAAACCAGGAACCACGGTGGGGTTTAGGGTTTAAGGTTGAGGAGTTTATGGTTTATAGGGTATAGAGTATAGGGTTTAGGGTTTAAGGCTTAAGGTTTATAGGGTTTAGCGTTTGGGGTTTAAGGTTTAAGGTTTAGGGTTTCGGGTTTGGGGTTTAAGGTTTAGGGTTTGGGGGTTTGGGGGTTAGGGTTAAAGGCTTGTAGGGGTCTAGACCCAAGCCCAAGCCCTTAGTTCACGTCCTCCTCCGAAGCCGAGCCCCCGCGGGAGCTAGCCGAAGGTGGCCCTTGACGCCTTCCACGGTTTGCGTTTTCATCTTCATGCCAGGGTTTAGGGGCCAGTATGGTAGGATCCTAGGGCCCCAGAAGAATACCAGTAGAGTTTATTAAAGGGATCCATAAGGGTTTCCAGAGGGGTACTATTACCCATCCCTAACCCTCCAGGTACCTACTATATAGGGGTGTAGGGGCTCGTTTGAAGGGCTCAGGGTTCAGAGTTTAGGGTTTGGGGCTTTGGGTTTAGGGTTCGCTAAAAAAATATTAGGGTATAGGGTTTGGTAGATGGATCGATGTTTTGGATTCCATCACAGTTCTCCGGCCAGGGTGTTCCCGAAACCAATACTGCTGATGATGCCACCACGGAGACCTTCAGCAAGACTCCACTTTAGCAGGACTTCAGCTACCCTTAAACCTAAACCCTAAAACCCTGACCCCCAAACCCTAAAATCCCAAACCCTAAAACCCCAAACCCTAAAACCCCAAACCCTACACCCCAGACCCCACCCACCCTAATCTTCAACCCATACCTGGAGGTCTGTAGATTTCAGGCTTCAGGCGAGCTTTGCGAATTTTCGGACGAGCTTTGCCATATTCAAGACCGGAGAGGCTGCCAGCTGAACTGAAGATAAATGTAGTACTGGGGCGAGCCGCGGTTTAGGGTGTAGGGTTTAGTCTTTACGGTTTCTTAGAACTGGGTCTTGGGGTAAGTTGTAGTATTCAGTGTGGCTACAATGTTACAACGGGATAATACTATTAATCACTCCGACCCTGGTATGCTCTTACACCCCCCAACCCCCTAGCAAAGCAGAATCAACACACGGCCGTCGAAGGACCGATATAACTTTATTGGAGCTAAAACCATCGAGCCTAAACGCGAAAACTAAAACCCTCAACCCTAAACCTCAAGCCCTAAACCCTACTGTAAACCTCAAACCCTCAGCCTGAAAACCCACGTTCTAGCCTTCGCAGCCAGCGCATCCATGGCAGGTCACCCGGTGCGCGTCGCTCGCGTGGGGCTGCGGCGGCCATTCCGGATCGCTCTTCTTACACCCCTGGCCCCTGAACCCTTAACAACCTAATCTTTAATATAGGGGGTAAGGGTTTAGGGTTTTAGGGTTTAGGGTTTAGGGTTTTAGGGTTTAGGGTTTAGGGTTTAGGGTTTAGGGTTTAGGGTTTAGGGTTTAGGGTTTAGGGTTTAGGACCCTGCACTACCCAGCTGGGGTTCCCTACTATGACATTATTTCCGTAGATAAGTGTTGAAAAATCAGGTCTGGCCGGGTTGAGGTTGCGTCTGGAAACCCATTGCATCTAGTCTTACTACATGTTAGGGGAAGGCAGGGGCTGAATTACAGCTGTTACAAAAAAACAGAAGTAGCCTAAGAATGTATGCATGGTCATATTGACTAACCTCCCAGGTACCTACTGTATAGGGTACTAGAGGCCCTACGGCCATGTATAGAAGGCACCTGCAGGGTTAAGGTTAATCTCGAAGTTTGGAACAGGTTCAGTGCCTGTTGATGTCTTGTCAGCTTGGGTGCACTTGATAGGTGGAAGTCTCAGCAGTTCCACGGTTTAGGGTTTAGGGTTTAGGATTTTGGGGTAAGCTTTACGGTCTGCAAAGACTAAACCCTAAACTTTGGCCCTAAACTTCCTAAACCTCCAAAACCCTAAACCTGTCTAGCATCATCGATGCTTGCTCAGACCCGCACGGCCTAACCACTAGCAGCAAGGACCACCCTAAACCCTAAACCCTAAACCCTAAACCCTAAACCCTAAAGCTTCGTCAAGCCATGGTGGAGGAGCAGGCTCACTGTTCATGCCAAGGGCTGATGGATGTGGGACTATAGGGCTTGGAGGGGTTAGGGTTTAGGGTTTAGGGTTTAGGGTTTAGGGTTTAGGGTTTAGGGTTTAGGGTTTAGGGTTTAGGGTTTAGGGTTTGGGGGTTCGGGGTTTGGGGTTTAGGGTTTAGGGTTTAGAGTTTGGGGTTTAGGGTTTGGGGAGACTTCATCCAAGGATGGATTCCCATAAAGCCTTACCTGCGGCTATTGATTCCTCAACTCCAAGTTTTTGCTACTTGAAATCCTGAGCTCCGATTGAAATTTCATTAGTTGCTCTTTTGAACCATAGAACCTCGAGTTTGAATCCTCCAATCCAAACCTAAACTCTAAACGGGTTCTACACCCTAAACCCTCAACCTGGAGGTTTAGGAATGGGAGAGAACGCCTTGCAACGCCTCAGTGCTGAATCCTGGGGAATTCAGGGATCCCTTTAAGGATAGATGCCAGACCCTGGGATCCTTGATGTACAAGGGCCACTAGTTTCAAAGAACCTCCCGGATAAATAAAAAACTGTTATCTTCATCTACTTCGAGACTGCTTCAGCATTGATTTCAGAGTCGGGACATTGCGGGCTTTGCTGTTGAATCGCTGGGCCTCAGCAGCAGTTTTTATATCCGGGATACCCAATGCGGCCCAGTCACGGACGCTGGGATGAACTTTCCGGCCTGGTGGTGGAAGCTGGTGTATCGGGGTGCAAGCCTTGAGGCTTTCGCTTTAGGGTTTAGGGTTTAGGGTTTAGGGTAGCCTTGTACTTGACCAGAGGGCATCAAGACCATCATTTTCGAAATGTAACGGCATTGTTGGAAGCCTCGGCATTGCTCAGCAACATGAACTCTAAATAGACTCCAAAGCCCAAGCCGTGAACACTTGCGAGCACAATTACCTCAAGAGCAAAATAGTGAATCCTCAAACCGCGAACCCTTAGATGAATCTTAAAGACAGGAAGTGAAACGGCAAAGCGTACTGGATTCGTGCGGCAAACCTTTAGCTCTGCACCCTAATCAAATCTAAACCTTAAGCCCTACACCCAAAACCGGTAAATCCCAAGCTTTGAATTCCCGGACTCTCTCTTCTGCCTCGCATCTCTGCAAGAAGCTCGAAGACTTTGGCCCAATTCCGCGCCTTCCGGGCACCCCTACCCAGACCTTCTCAAAGGACAAGAATTTAAAAACCAACAGCACTGCACGCCCCATAAACAAATCTAAAAATGGAACCCCTAAACACAGGCGTCTCACGTATCTTAACCCCTACACATCTATATAGTACTAGGATTTGTTTTTGCCGGTTGGTGTCCAATGAGGACCACATCGGACCCAGAGACTCCAAAGCCCCTTAATTAAGGAATATACCTTAAATTATAATAGGATCCCTAATATGATTTACGGTATATTCCTTAATTTAGGGGTTTTGGAGTCTCTGGGGAAGACTTCTGAAACCCAGAGCAATGGATCCGAAACCGTCGGCCTGAGGATTCAGGCCTTAAGGCTTTAGGGTTTAGGGTTTACGGTTTAGGGTTTAGGGTTTAGGGTTTAGGGTTTAGGGTTTAGGGTTTAGGGTTTAGGGTTTAGTCTTAAGGCAAGCCCTACACAACATGATTTCAAGCTTGACCTAAACTCAAAGACTCAACTCAATACCAGAATGCTTGCAAAACAAAGAACATGATTGAACACTGCATGTACCCTGCAACAAGGGTGGAAGGCAGACACGGCAACGTATATACCCCCTGAACCCATCAGAAAGAGAACAAGTGTGTACTAGGATCTCAATCTCCAGAGGCAGAACAGTGAGATACTGCTTTGAGTTTAGGGGTTTATGGGTTTAGGGATTTAAGATTCAGGATTTAGCTCTTTGCTCTGTGGTCCCTTTCGCAGAACCTGCGCACAACACGTTCAAAGGAGGCTGCTGAACGAGCACCCAGAATCACAAGACTTCTGCGCCTTATTACAGGCCCAGATGGCGGCAGTGTAGGTGACGACATCCGGATGAACCACCTGCCCGGGCATTCATCATATGTTTCGGTGGCCCTTCAACCCATCACCCCGCACCTTGAGCCCCAATACCTAAACCCTAAACCCTAAAACCTAAACCCTAAACCCTAAACCCTAATCCCTAAACCCCAAACCCTAAACCCCAAACCCACCCACCTTGGAGAGCATGGTGCCGAGAAGGTCGAGGCCAACCCGCCACTCATCACCTTCCTGCATGGCTAGGGGGCTTGAGGGTTTAGGGTTTAGGGTTTAGGGGGCTTGGGTTTTCGGCAAACTCTGAAATCCTAGACTAATATATGGGCCTCACTAACCACCTATACTCTTTCGGGGATTCCTTGTTAAAATTCGATTACTTGTTATAATTCGACTAAAGGACCCCCAAAACCCTATTCTATTTAATACGGCCCTAAACCCTAAACCCAAAGCCCTAAACTCTAAGCCTGAAACCTTGAACCCTAAACCCAAACCCGAAAAAAAGAACCGTCAGGGTCGGTTGGGCCTCACAGGCGGTGATGGCAGCATTGTAGCTCACCTCTTCTCCAAGGGCTCGACGTTTGGGCTGGATAGGGTT